GGAAAAAAAAAAAAAAAAAAAAAAAAAAAAAAGAAAAGAAACTAAAAAATACTAATTACTTCACATTCTTAATTTATTTAAATTTATAAAAATATGGTAAATTAATAGAAATTTAAGTTGTAAAAAAGAAAAAATAGATAAAATTGTAAAATAAAATATATGCATGTAAACATATATACATATATAAACATATAAAGCTTAAAAAAAAAAAAAAAATATGGAAATAAATGAAGTAATATCTTTATTTGATCACTTTTATATCTTATTTGATGATTATATTGTAAAAAATACAAAAGATATCAATAGTTATAATTCTATTTTTAATAAGAAGGAATTTTTAGAATTCTTAAAATTCTACTCTAATGTAAAAATAAAAAACAAAGAAATTATATCTAATAAAGATGAAATTATAGATGAATTAATATATGCTTTTAAGCATTTAGGTAAATATATAAATAGATGTGATATATTTTCTAAAAATGAAGAAATAGATGATATAAATACAAAATATTTAAAGCTTTTATTAATCCCATATATATTAGGGTTTTTAAGTTATGAAACCATAAATATAAATATACGCTATGATAGATTGAAGGATTCAAAATTATATTTTCATGAATATATCAATTTAATGAATATTTATAAAATAATTAAAATGGATGATTATTTATTTGATGAGGAAAATAGTACAAATTTAGTTAATAGAAGAAATATAAAGATAAAAAGAACAAAAGATGAAAAAAAATATCAAGAAATGTTTGAAGAAATATTTAAAAACAACTTAAAATATAAGGATGGTAATAATATAGATGATACTTGTGATGACTATAGAGAAATGTATATATCTCTCATAAAGTGTAAGTTCATACAAACATTAAACATAATTGATTTAATAGATACTGAATTACAGTTTTTAGAAATAAGAAATAATGAAAAAGAAGATAAGAAAGAAAATGTGAAAAATTCTGATATAAAAGATCAAGTAAGAAAACCATGGTTTTTCAGTATTAAAAAAAAAATGCAATTATCCGATGTTACTCAAATTAGAAATTATTACAAAGATTTAGTTTTTAAACCATTTCATAATTTACCAACAATTTCTTTAGATGAATGTGCAAAAATTGAAATGGAATTTTCTTTAAAAGGAACAAATGATAATAATCAAAAAAATAACGAAAATGATGATATTCAAGATCTAAAAAATGATAAGAATGATGATTATTATAAAGAATATTCAAAAAAAGAAAGAGAAAAAGAAATTTTTGATAAAGAATGGGATGATTGGAAAGATTTGCACCAAAAAGGAATAGGTAATAAAAACAGAAATATTGCCTAAATTTATATATATATATAAATCAATCAAACCTACTAATTAAACTTCTAAATTAAACAAAGTAAAATGTGTAGAACAAAATAAGAAAAAAATATATATTTAAATAAATTTATATATATATGAATAAATAAATAAAATTACAAAAAAATAAATTAAAATAAAATAATTAAAAAAAAAAAAACTTAAGAACAAAAAAGTAAAATTGTGAAAATAAAACTTAAAAAAAAAGAAGATCACAAATATGTTAAAAAAAAAGAAAAAAATTTTATTGGTAAAAAATTTCAATTATATTTATATATATAAATTTTTCTGACTTTTTTTTTTTTTTTTTTTTTTTATTTTAATATATTCATAAACATAAGTACAATTTTTTTTTTTTTTTTTTTTTTTTTTTTTTGTTTGTGAATATTTTATGCATGCTTTTATATAACTGAATTATTTGTATTTTTTAAAAAAAAATCATTTTTCAATGTTTTCAGAAATTACATATAAATGTTTTTTATATTTTGATAAACTTATTTTTTGTTTTTCCTAATGAATAATGTACAATTAAAACTAACATATTTAAAAATTTTATACATTTTATTATAAAAATCATTTAAAGCAAAAAGTATCATAAAAATGTGAAAAAAAATATAACATGAAAAATGAAACACATAGTAAAACATAAACATGTAAATATATATGTAAATATATATGTATATATATATATATATTTATGTAATATTTATATGTGATTTATTTTGTACTTATACACCCTAATTTATATTTGTAAAGTAATAATTTTTTTATGAAAATGTTTTAAGGTAATTTTTACCTTTTTTTTCTTATTTCCTCGTTTTACTGCATTTTATATTTATGCTTTTTTCTTCACAATAATTTCTCCTATTTTATATTTTATTCTTTTTTTTCTTTTATAAAGACTTTAATAGTTAATTAACGTTAGTAAGAAATAAATATACATAAATTTAATTTTTTTCTTTTTTTTTTAATAATATTATTTTGTTACTTGTCAATTTATATAATTTTAATGATTGCTTAAAAATATCATCTTTAACTTATAAGACTTTACATTTTTATATTTTATATAAGCATTTATTTATATAAATACTTAAAAAAAAAAAAAAAGATTTTTAAACTTCAATATATTTATTTTAATAAAAGTATAAATAGTATTAAAACTATTGTAAAAAAATCATTTGTTTTTTTTTTTTTTTTTTTTTTTTTTTTTTTTAAACTTTTCA